CCTCAGAAACCCTAAGTGGCCATTCTTCTTCAATTGTTGTGGATATTTGACCTTGTGGAGCTTGGTTTGGCAACGGAGAGCCTAGAAGAAGAAAGAAGAAGTTGTCAAGGAAGGAGTTGGGTGGCTGGAGCTCGTAGATCTGGGAAGCAATCATCTTCTGGAGCTCTTTTGAGGTATAAAGTCTCTTGCTTGACCTCTATTTTGTGTAGATCTTGGTGTTATGAAGTTTTGACACCATTTCTTGTCCCAAAATGATGCATGATGCGAGTTGGTTGAAATTAGTTGTCCTTTTAGACCTTAGGAGAGGTCTTGAGTGAGAAAAATGAGGTCTCAATGGATTTGATTGTCTCATGTGTGATGTAGGTGGATCTTAATGGATTAAGACCTTGAGTTAAGAGCTTTATCGACGTCCCAAGTAATAAAGTTTAAGAATTTTATGAATCCTAGGCATGTTTGGTTGATGGATCTGAAGTTTGGGCTTAAGAGCTTAAGCCATTAAGAACTTAAGAAGAGTTTTAGATCAGCGCACGTACGCCCCGCGTAAGCTGATGTACGCCCAGCGTAGTGGGTCAGTGTCCCATATCCAATCCGCGAGAATCGAAGTACGCCCAATGTACCAAGGAGGGTACGCCCAGCGTACTCCCTCTGATGGGCTTTCAATCTTGGGCCTTAAATGATTGGGTTGTTTATGGGCTAGTGGGCTTGGGCCGTGACTGAAACTTATGAATGGAGTAATTTAGACCCAATAATTATTTTGGACCTTGGATCTAGGACTGTTTGGAAAGGTGGGCCCAATTTAGTAAATTGGGCCAATATTGGGCTTTGTTTGAGTATTTGGTTTTGGGTCTTGGCACAATAAGAGGAGGATGGATTTAATGAGTGTTGTAGGACCTTGGCCTAGAAACTCATGATGGTTTCGAATGTGATGGTTTTCATATGATAGTTGGGATTTCCAGCGAGTCAGCAGTTAGAGATTTGAAGGATTCCTGCAGTTGCAAGGTGAGTTATCCTCACTGTACCCAAGGGTCTAATGCACCAAGATCGGCCCTTTGATTTGTTTTTTAGAGCTTATTATGGTGTGTGATGATATGCTTGCTAGTATCCTAGTATATAGGATAAGGAAATGAGGATATGCCTTGTTAGCTTAGTATCCTAGAGAAATGGATAATTGTGTGATGGCTAGTTCTGTTGGATCAGCGCCCTGGTAGTTGGGTAATGGTTATTTATAGACCGGTAGTTGGTCTTGCTTTATGTACGCTGGTAGGAGGCTACCTGCGGGTTCTGTATATTCAGCAGTAATAGAGGGTATCCCATCCCGGTAGGATGATAGGGCCCTAGTATGTTGGTTCTGTAGAGTATTATGTGGTTGTATGTTATGTGTGCATGTTTGCTAGTATAGATTGGCATTCCAACCCGGTAGGAGGCTACCTGCGGGTTCTGTATATTGAGAAGTAATAGAGGGTATCCCATCCCGGTAGGATGATAGGGCCCTAGTATGATGGTTCTGTAGAGTATTATGTGGTTGTATGTTATGTATGCATGTTTGCTAGTATAGATTGGCATCCCAACCTGATGGTTAAGGGTCCTGGGGTATTCCATCTTGAGGGATGATTGGACCCAAAGCAGTAGTAGTAATTACTGTATGTATAAGAGGTGGGGCATTCCAACCCGATGGTTGTGGGCCAGGAGTATTCCATCCCGGTAGGATGATTGGACTCATATAATGTTGGCATTCCAACCCGATGGTTGAGGGGCCTGGGGTATTCCATCCTGAGGGATGATTGGACCCATAGTATTTATTATTGTGCGTATAGGTGTATGGGCATACCAACCTGATGGTTGAGGGACAAGGGTATTCCAACCGGAAGGTTGATTGGACCCGTAGTATGTTGTTCTTTGTTGTATGCGTATGTTTTTGTGTGTATAGGTACTTTGGGGGAACTCACTAAGCCTTCGGGCTTACAGTTGTGGTTTATTGTTTCAGGAGATCGTGGAAAGGCGAAGGGGTGATCGCACCGCTCCTCATGTTTATGTTTTATGGTTTTGGGGAATTACTCTGATGTTTAAACTATTTTGAAAACAAGATGTATGATCTTAACGGTTTTTGAATGAAATAAAATGTTTTAATTTGGTTGAAATTTTTGGTCGTTACAATAAGACAAAATGCATTAAATGCTAAAACGAGCTTCTAATCTCGAAATTGCCCTTCATCTCGAAATTTCTACTCATCGCGGACTCAGCTGATATAAGAACTTGATTGATTGCTAGAGGTTCACTTTTCATGATTCAACAGTTTGCTTAAAGCCATGAATAGACTCCATGATATGATAGAGCTCCTATATTTTGAAATGTTGAAGATGAGGTTGCTCCTACTTATTTAACAGGTGTTTTTTATATTATTGCACCAATTTAATATTAGTTTGTTTTGATGTTGGTAATTTGATTTCATGGTGAACCTTGTAAGAATTGCAAACATGCAGTAGTTAAGTTGGGTGGGAATGGAAATATTTGTTGGGTAAATTTTGTGATGAAAAGGTTTATTATGTATGAAGTCAATCTTTTGTATGTATGAAATTCAAGGTAATGTATTGGTTGATTTGGCAACCAAATATAACAAGCTACTACCAAAAATTTATTTTAAATACTTCAACGTATACTAAATTATACAAAGTCAATTGACAACCAAATATAGCAGCATACTACCAAAGTTTTGATAATAAATAGTTAAAAAAAAACATGACATCATCTAGTCAATTGTTTTGGATAACCAAAAATAGGAACATATTACCAAAATCTACTAAACAACTACCAATGTTTTCCTAAAATAACTCCATGCCAAAATGAATAACCAAATAACAAAAGACCTAAATAGACTACCAAACAAGCCAAATACATATCAGAACATGTACCCCCCTCACTTTCCCCTATTTCTTCCCTTTTGCTTCAAGTTTAGATAATTGACCAATGCCCCTTGTCTTTTACATTTCCTTGAATTATGCCTTTTGTTATGACATTTTGCATATGTAACTATGACGTACTTCATGCTCAATTTGGTAGGTTGGCTTCTTGCCTCATCAACACCCCTATTCCCCTTCTTATTTGGCATCTCAACCTATACATAAAGAAACCTGTTAGTTTTAGTTATTATAGGCTAGCATTTTACATATTGTAAGTCAAGTACACACTTGTTTATAATGTTTAGGAGGGCCCAAAGTGAAATGAAAATTACTTTTTGGCAGCATGGGATGACCATTTATAGGATCCCTTAAATTTGTTAAATGATATTATTTGCCAAAAACCTAGATGTACAAGCTTTAACATGTCTAGTTTGTAAGCCTTTACGGTTTTCAACATTAAATACATGACTTTCTTGGGTATCATTTGACATTTTGTATGGTACAATACACTTATCATATGTTATGGCTTCATTAATATCAATTACATGTGATTGTGTTACTGATAGTCCCTCATATACAAGTTGAATCAAATCTGATTTCCTACTACAATAACCTATATCTCTCTTTATTGGTTTTCTTTTTCTAAACTCTAGTGAAACAATTTCAGGTTCAAAATCCTCAATCACAACCTTGAATGGGACTTATAATATGTAAAAACCCTAGTGTCACTGGTTTCAATATAAACATCGATTTGTCTATGTTTAGGGACATATGTGACCATTTTAAAACATCACTGTCAGTCATTAAGGGAATTAAGCCATAATCTAATGGGACATCAGGGATACAGTAATGGTAGTACCATGTCTACTTATTTTGGTATCCTAACTCTTTAACCATGTCATCAAGGTCGTGTACTGAAAAAAGGTATGTATCAATAAAGTCAACATATGAGGCAGTACCATCTACAAATTAACACATTGTAGTTGGGAAATCCTACTGCAATCCAAGTGTGTGTGTGTGTGTGTGTGTGTGTGTGTGTGTGTGTGTGTGTATATATATATATATATATATATATATGCTTTTTTCATGGATATTCTAAATACAATGTGACATTATCCTTCGCTTAGTTGAAACCCTAAGATGCTTGGAGTTTCTCTGTTAATCGGAAGTTAGGAGGACCAAGGAAGATGTAAGTTTCTTCTAAGAAGGACGGGGTTGATATAATGGAGAGGAAGACAATAGTACATCTTATAAACTGATCAGTAACATTAGAAATACCCTGACGTACAGAGCATGTAAGGGCAGTTAACGATTCCAATTTAGCGGAGTCAATCAAAAGAATCATCAATTAAAAGCTTTAAACTACATGGACCATTGTTGATGATCTAAAAAGTTAAAACCTAAATTAGATTATTATTATTATTATTATTATTATTATTATTTGAAAATCAGATCATTAATAAAGATTTTCTATTTATGAAGATCTTTTCCTTTAATGAAATTAACAGGGACCATTTATGTCATTTTATGTAATTTTTTATTTTTTAACTAACATGTAGTTTTTATTAAATATTATTTTTTAAGAGCTAACATTAAATATTATTTTTTAAGAGTTAACATTTATTTTTAAGAACTAACCATTAACTAACAACTAATTAATTTTTTAATTAATCCGCCAAATATAAGATGTGCTATCTTGTATTGTATGTTGCATGCCTGCATCATAAATTCTCCATGGTGACTTTTGGGTTTGAGTAGCTTATAATTGGACTGATCAACACTCTTTTTATGATTTAGTAAACTTCAAAAGCCTATATTATAACTATTAACTAATGTTTTAAACAACGTAAGTCGTGATTTGGCGTCAATATCTAGCCTCAAACTTTTTTGAGTCGTGGCGAATCACGTCGTTTGTAAAGTGTGTTTTAAGACGACAATTTTATATAAAATTCTTATTTCTATATATATATTTTATATTATTATTCATTTATGAGGGAGTCTTAACTAGCTTTTTAGAACATTGGTTTTAACCCTAGTTTCTTTCCACTCCATGCTTATGCTTACACTTACACAAACCTTTTCTTTTAAGCAAATATCGAAGAGGTACAATTTCAGTAATTCAGTCGGCAACAAATATCAAATCAAACTGCCCTTAAGTCGATTATGATGTCTCTGCCCAGAAGCATATTACGTCTCCGATGGAGTTCTTGACATTTTATTCTTTTTCCAAACTTGTCAAAACAGACCAAAATACATCGACTTTATAAATCTACAAGTCAAACTGGAACAAAAACTATCATCATCCACCATATATACCATTGACATAATAATCAACAAGTAGGTTGTTCTTGTGTAATTTATAATGCAAGATTCTTACAAACCTTTCGTATAAGTCCCGAAATTCAGACAAAAAAGATTATTCAAATTAATAAAATATATATTATAGATTTATATCACCAAAAACGATAAAGGTTGACCATATCAAGATCAATTAGGTCAAAGCATCCATCCAGGGACTAATGCATTCAGATTCTGCCCATTTGTCGAATCTGTTAAATGGCTTGGACCAACTTCGTTATATAACCTGTTAATTTGAATTTCAATTTCAATTTAGTTTGATCATTCTTATTTCTTGGTGTATACGTAATTAGAAATAAAGATTAATTACCCAATTTGCAAATTGGAGTTACAATCTAACGGCTGGAAGAATTCCTGCGATTGAGGATGCTGTTCATGTTGTTGTTCATATGAACAACAGTTTTGATGATGATCACCTGCCGCCCATGATGGTCCTGCTTGATTTTCTGCATACACTTCTTCCAGCTGCTAAAACAACAGCTTTTCAATTCGTTAATCTTTTACACTAAAAAAAAAAAAACATCTTTATATATGATTATTTACAGTAATATTTATGTGTCGCATGCAGTTAAATTCTTATCAAACATACATTATGGATGATATTAATTAATTACCTTATTCTGCAAAGCTTTATTAGCTTCAATCCACATCCTTTCCTATAAATAATTTCATGGACTCACTCGTTTGTAATTAAGTTGTCATGGATGAGTATGAAGTCAAAAAGAGCGTGTGAATTTTTTTTACCTTGACTTGAAGTTCGGAAAGCCGATCAAGCATTGATTGTGTCTGTATATTTTTTTAACCAAAACGAATACAGTCAATTTTTTGGGGAAATCATTGGTTAGACACGAATCTGTGAGTGTCAGTGAACAGTAAAAATGGAGATTTTTTTTACCCTTATGGACCGGATTTGTCTCAAAGTAGAGTCCAGTTGTCGTTCTAGTTGTTCAAGTTCCTTGAGACTAAGGGGCCCCAGGTCCTCCCCAAAAACTTGCCTGTCATTGTCATACAGATACGAATCTTGTATGTTTCATTAATATCATATATATAGATATATACTTTTATATATGTATATGTAACTAAGCACTTGTAAAAATTCAAGAAACTTGCCTTTGGTACTGTTGTAGGGAATCGTATTTGGCCTTTAGTTTCATGTACTCCTTGTAGCTGTTTTGCTAAAGAAAAAAAAAGATTGAAAAGTAATTTTTGAAATATGTGTCAATTGTGGTGTTTGGAATTTGAGAAGAAATTAAGAAAATTAGTAGAAGATACAACGTACGTACCTCAGCATTGTTGGCTGATCTGTCGATTTCCATTGAACCATAAGTGCATTTCTGGTACCTTTCAAGCATCTTGAGCATGCTGAAATAAATTTTCTTAAGATCAATTACTGTTTTTTTTAATAACAAAGTGAGTTGATTAAGTAGGAAAAAGAAAGGATTTTGTGTTGGTAATTTGCAAGTGGTAATCAGAAAACATAAGACATGAAAGAATCGATTCATTTCAGGAAATCTTGATTAATTGATAAATTGTAACTAAGGACAAAGTGTTTAAGCTAAAAACTTTTGAGCAATAATAAAGGATCTTGATGTGACATATACTATACTATACACACAGATGCCTTCGCATATACACACAAATTGAAATACCAAATGATTCAAATATAAAAGTTTAAACACTATGTTACATGATATTGTTTGGAAATATTACTGGTTTACATGATTGCAAGTATCAATTATCATCATTAATGACCTAGTGGTGATCACTTGGAATTCAAATACTCAGAAATGGAGTGAGTTTCAGGTTTGAATTCCGCAAGCTTCAACCTGGGAGTTGTCTGCTTTAATAATAATAATAATAATAATAAAAAAAAACACACATGTATTTGCATTGCCATTAAAAAAAGGTCATATATGAATGTTCAACTATCGAACACACTTTTTTCCTTCCAATATGATCATTAGAAATTCTCATTTATAAATGGTATTTGTTGTGCTAAATCTTGTGTTTAATTAATTAATAGTTTATGGGATAATTAGAAACTTCAAGTATTAAATGCACAAATATAACAATTAATTTTAAATTATATATATATATATATATATATATATATATATATATATATATATATATATATATATATATATATATATATATATATATATATAGGTTGAAGTGTTTCTCCATCCAACTTATACATTGTTTCTTGGAAAACCCTAATAATTATGGGTAATTTGGATTGTTTATTTGAAGTGTTTATTAGTTTATTGAGGTTTGGTGTGACTTTTGAGTGTTTGAAGTGTCTATTATATTATTGTATATATGCTTATTGCAGATTTTGTTACTTAGTAATAAACGTTTTTTTTTTAATGTAGTCTATTTTAATTCTAACTTATTTCAAAGTGTTTATTAATATGCAAAGCAAATTACATTACTACCCTTCAAAAACCCATTATCTTTGGTAGAATTCATCGCCCATAACACAATAGAAATATTATTAAAGATGTTGTATGGAAAACACTTCCAGAAAATCCATAATTTTGAAATGATGACTTATATATATTGCTGCAGTAGAAAGTAAACTATACTAAGAGTTGTATGAAGAACAAATTATTGATGCCATGTGGTCCAATTGCATTTGAAGCAATTCCAATTACCTAGAAACACATGTCGAGACAAAACTTTTATCATATCATCATTTATTTCTTCAATTATGTGTACAAAAAACATGCAAATTATGTGTACAAAAACATGAACTTGCTGAACTACAATGACTCAACAGACACCCTTAAAACTTAAATATTGGAAATAACAAAAGGCTTTACTGATCTATTTAATGCTATTGGTATAAGTTTTTGTAAAAGATTTTTTTTTTCAATTTATTAGTATTTTTTTTGGAACATGCAAAAATTATATAAAAACAACAAAAACCACAACCTAGCAAAGGCACTAGGCGGTGCAACATTACAAGCAAGAGAAGGGGTTAATTACAAATCCCCTTTTACCCTTTGTGTTTAAACCATGAATCTATTAGCATTTGATTTGTATATTTTAAATTAAAACAAACAATTATTAAAGTCATTAAAGATTTTTTTTTGTAACGATAATGACACAGATAAATTAATATATATAAATGATATAATTCCAAATTCGTTGTATAAATTAAGTCTGATAATCAATTTGCTTTGTTCAGATTGGTTCCTTTGTTTGAAAACCAAGAAAATCAAATTTTAAGGTTAAAAATAAAATCCATAAAATTAAATTTTCCAAACATAAAATCCCAAATTTCAGATGTAAAAATCTAAAGTTTCAAACATCAAATATGAGATTCCAAACAAAACATAACAGAAGACATGGACAATGTGTTAAAGAAATGAACTTTTTGATTTGGATTTGAGAAATCAACGTGTGTGAAATTCGAAACAATAAAATATTTTTTCATTTTTCTATTTTATTTTCAAAGTATAAAGAAATACAATATTTAATTAATAAAATAATTAATTAAGTAAATTCGGTATAATTGGTTTGGTTTAATCCGAACTCAACTAGACCAAATAATCAAATTCATAACTCAGTTTTGTCTAAAACCAAACTGAAATCTGATAGCTTCATTTATCGAATTTCAAATTTAATTTGTTTCAGTTGGTTTTTTTTTTCCAAACCAAATAATGCACACCCTCCTTTAGTGGTATCTAATAATAAAAAGTTCTATAATTAGCCATTAACATAATTTAATTAGAGATCTCATATATACTTTTGGTATACAAATAATCTGGTATTAGTACCAATAGATAACCATTCATCTTTCTAGGTATTTGTTACCATATATACAGATATACATATATATACGTAGAGCCTAGAGAAACCCTATATATCAACCAGCGAGTAAAGACACTTTAAATTTGCAATTTCAAGAAACTGTATATATATTCTATTCCACGGAATATAATCTATTAACACGCATGCATCGAAACATGGTTATTAGATACTATACATTAGATATCCACATGAGATAAAAGCCTCCCAAACTGCACTTATCATTCATGTTTGCTCAACATTTAACAAATTCTTAATATCATACTTACATTCTTCATCCCTTCAAACAGACAAAACCATTAAAGACTCTGACCTTTTATAAAGAAAAATTACCAAACATATTGACCAAGGTTTTAGGTGCCAAGAAACTGGAAGATCGACACACAGTGCACTTAACCTCTTTTGAACACATCTTACCTTAAGAAACTAGGGTAGATGACAATTATTTTAAGGATGCAAGAAAGTCGCCATCATGTTTATTGTATCTGCTAATCAAGATATGAACCAAGTAAAACTTGCAGAGGAAACAAAATTCTTTACACTAATTCAACCGAAAGACAGGTAGATCACAAGGGTTTACTCAAGAAAATCGTTTTTTTTTATTAATTAAATCATTATTTTCAAAACCCAAGAAGGATTTGGTTACTGTTTAGCAAGAAGCATGCAGAAAAGATTAGTATAACACAGTAGCTGCTAGATCAATTCAATTTAAAGTAATCAACACAAGGAATTGTACACAAAAGAAACTTAGTTCTTCTTGGATCCTCTTTTTCCGCTCATCTGTGATGTGATTCTTTTAACTGATGAGTCTGACATGAGAAGATTTGGATAACAAACTGACAGATCGAAAGCCTAGATCTAACCTACATGCAAAACCTTCAAGACAACTTCTTTTAATTTGCAGAACTCTAAACTTTTAGCTCAAACAGAAACAGCTAAACTTATCACGATACCATCAAACAAAAGAGAACCCATATTCTCGAATTCTCAAAAGAAAAAGAGAAACATCAACAAAGAGAGAGAGATATAGAGAGAGAAAGGGAGATCTAGAGAGAGAAAGGAGTACTTGGAGGTGCTGCAGAACTCATAGAGCTTGCCACGGTTAGAGAAGATGATGAGAGCAACTTCAGCATCGCAAAGAACAGAGAGCTCATAAGCTTTCTTCAGAAGTCCGTTTCTTCTTTTAGCAAAAGTCACCTGCCTGTTGATCTTGTTCTCTATTCTCTTCAACTCTACTCTTCCCCTACCCATAATTTTATATCTTTCCCCAAAAACGTTCCTTTATTTAATGGCTTTTCTTGATTCCTTCTTTATATCTGAACCAAAATCTTAATACGAAGATGAAAAAGTTACAGGAAGATTAGAAAAAAAAACAAAATTTAGAAATTCTTTCAATTATGAGTGATCATACTGCAATTTCTATAAAGGAAAGATGAAAAGGTTACAAAAAGAATACACAGGCGGAGATGTTTTCCTTGGATTTTCTCTTTTCTAGGGTTCAAGATTTTGTTTGTACAGCAAGATATGAAATTTGGGGCTGGTGTTTACTAACCTTCAAAAGCTTCATGCTTTTAACCTATTTGAGAAGCGCAAGCAAGCATCAAGAAATGAGCGTATACCCACTTGCAAATAAACGCGTGATGATTACTCTCGCGGAATTCGACATGTAGTGAGAGCATAGATTTCTGTCACTTGTCAACAACTTTCAATGCGTAGAACACGTGTCGAGTTGCAAGAGGTTAATTTAATATAAGAACCATGTTTAACTTTCAGTCTTTGTCTTGTCCGTACACCATCTTTAATTTAAGTTTTACATCAGAGTTTTATTTAGAGACACTCACAAAAATGAACAAAGAAATATTTTTAGGGGATTTGACTTAGTAAGGTAATTAAGTATTTCAAATGTTTACATATGGGTAATATTGTTTTTTTTGTACTCATTTACCCAACAAACTTGTTTCAGCCGTTCAATAATAACCAACATTACCGGCTATTGTAAGTTTTGGGTGATGTGACATCTACGTGGCTTGTACGCTACAATACTCATCACCTACGTTGCATTGAGAAGTGTTTACATTATAAGAGGGTGAGATACGACAGCTTATTAATTAAAACCCTAGATCGATCGATGGCATCTTCTTCCTCATCCTTTTCTTCCAAATGACAAGACGAATTATAACCGGATCATCCATGTGATTGCGATTTGCCATCTCGTGTGAAGACATCAAGAACCCCAGAAAATCCTGGAAGGAAATTCAGAGTTTGTCAAAACTCACTGGTAATTCATATTTTTTACTTCTTCATCCTTCAATTTAACATGTTCTTATAAATTTCTTGAAGAATGGAAAAAATCCAAGCTGTAAATTTTGGCAATGGTTGGATGAGGATGAAGGGAGGAAAGATGGAAGAGGGCATTACAGGATGAAAGCAGAAGAAAGCTGCAATCTTACCTTGAAAATTTGTACCTTGGAGAATGAAATCAGCATATGTAGGATGAAGATTGAAGAAGAGAAGAACATGAATAAACAAGAACTTGACAAAGTCAACTGGAAATTGTTTACCCATAGACTTGCATTAATTTTCTTGTTTCTCTTGTATGTCAAAATGTTGTTTTAAATTATGTATTATGATGTAGTATGACTAAATTATGTATGCTTTTGTGATGTTTTCAATGAAAAAGGTTATATTCTATCATTGGAATGGAATAGTACATTGTAATGGAATGGGTATTAAACTTGGTAGTATAAAAGATAGTAATAAACATTGTTATGGAATTGAATCATTGTAATTGAATCATTGGAATTGAATCATTGGAATGGTAGTGTACAAAACTTGTAATGTTATTGTTAATCACTGGAATTGAATTGTTCAAACAATGTAATGGAATTGTGATTACATTGTAAAGGAACTGTGATTACAGTTGATATTCTAAAAGATGGTAATAAATTATAAATAATACAAATGGTATTAGAAAGATGTGCAAAAGATGGTAATTGAAACATTGGAATGGTAGTGTACAAAACTTGTAATGTTATTGTGAATCATTGGAATTGAATTGTTCAAACAATGTAATGGAATTATGATTACACTGTAAAGGAATTGTGATTACAGTTGATATTCTAAAAGTTGGTAATAAATTATAAATAATACTAATGGTATTAGAAAGATGTGCAAAAGATGGTAATATATTATAGACATTCCAGGGAACATTGACTTCAAAAGATGTGTCAAAAGTTTTACATAACATAGTTAAACATTCATTACACCCAAAAGATGTGCAAAAAGTTAAGCTATTCCAACTAGTTTTCAAAAGATGTGCCAAAAGATTCCAAAGTTAAAAGATGTCAGTCAAAGATGCCAAAAACATTAACAACAGTACAATAAGCCAAAAGTTAATCCAACTCATACGGATTGTCATCACTACTGCCCTGTTTTCCCTCCCACATCTTTCTTATCTTCAGTTTTGTAATTCTTTCTGAAGGTTTCCTTGCCCTCTTTCCCACTACAACTTGAAAAGTTGGTATTTCCACTTGATCTTGAACTACAATTTGGTTAGCATCTTCAACTTGAACTTGCACTTCAGGTTCAACTTCAGCTTGAACTGCAAGGTGAACTTCAACTTGGTTAGCATCATGAACTTCAGGATGATTTTCAGGTTCAACTTCAACTTGCACTTCATCTTGAACTTCATGTTGCACTCCATCTTGGACTTCAGGTTCTACTCCATCTTCAACTTCAGGTTGCACATCATCTTCAAATTCAAGATCAAAAGAGTCAACATCACTTTCAGGTTCTATTTCAACTTCACTGTCACTGTCAATATCAACTTCATGTGCCAATACAACCTTCACTTTATCTGTTTTGTATTACTTGAAAAGTTAAGTTATGCCCAATATGTTAAGTTATACAAGTTATGTACAAATAAATATATCAAACATACCAGCTTTCTTGGATTTCTTTTTCTTTGAACTTGCATTTGATGATTCCCCAATTGGTTTTTGAGGACAGGTTGTTCTATTATGCCCACTTTTCCTACATATGTTGCATTTCATCACACTACCTATTTTTGTGATTGAATGCTTTTTTCCTTGGTTTTCCCTCTCAATCTGATCCCTTTTCCTTTTTGTTGATGGTCTTCCTGGTAGCCTTCTCCTTTTGGGGGGCAATGGGCTGATGTAGTCTACATGAGGCCACATGTCACTACCATTTAGTGGGTTAATGGTATTCCTGTAACAGTTTAGGTACATTGATGTGGTAAACCATGGTGACACATACTCCTGTACATCCCTGTTGAGGCTTGCAATGCAAGCATACCCATGCACACAAGGGTAACCTGTTAACTGCCAAGTTCTGCAGGCACATGTCCTACTACCAATATCCACAACATATGCATCATACCCAAGTCTGACTTCATACTGTTGATAACCAGATGGTATTACTTTCCAAAACCTGTCCATATACACATGTTTAAAGACAAACATATATAAGGACAAACATGTTTAAAGACAAACATATATAAGGACAAATAGTTTTAAGCATTTACCTTTGAAGATCCTTAAGCTTGGACAACTTCAGCCTAATGGTAGGACATATGGTTAAATCCCAAGATTGCCCCTTAATCTTCTGTCTATAAAGCCTCTCCATCACATAAATTCGAATTTCTTCTAACATGGTGATTAGTGGTCTCTTCCTAGCAACTTCAATCACAGAGTTGAAACTCTCAGAGATACCATTTTCATATGCATCACAAGCCCTATCAGTCTGAAAAAATGCTTTACTCCAAGTTTTAGGGTCCCTTTCCATCAAATGGTCATAAGCTAGTGGCTCTAATTTCTTGATTTCATTCATGTGTTGTTCAAATTTTGCAGGGGTAGTAGCTGCAGCAGCATACCAGAAAAGCTTTCTAAACACTTGGCCCTTAAACCTTTTCAGGAAGTTAGCACATATGTGCCTAGCACATTGCCTATGCTCTGCTGCTGGGACCCTTTCCTTCACAGCCTCAAGTAATCCCTGTTAGCAATAGACACAAAATTTAAACAACAAAAACATAACATAAGCTAAAATAAAGATGAAAATAATAAAAATTGATTACTTTGTGTTGGTCTGATATCAAGGTTAGTCCATGCCCAACTCCCATTCCAAGGTCCTCAATTAGAAGGTTAATAAACCACTTCCATGTTTCTTTACTTTCCACTGATACAACAGCCCAAGCAATGGGATATATATGGTTATTTGCATCTCTACCTATAGCAGAGAGCAACTGACCTCTGCATATGCCCTTTAGGAAGCAACCATCTAGTCCAATTACCCTCCTACAACCTTCAATCCATCCATCCTTCAATCCCTTGAAACATACATAAAACTTTGAGAAATATGTGGTTCCATCAGGCATGACATCTACATCCATCTTCACTGTTGATCCAGGGTTAGTCCTTCTTATCTCTTCTCCATAGCTCCATGTTTTTGCATAATGCTCTTTCAAAGTACCCTCTATCTCCTGAAATGCATACTTCCTTGCATTTCTGCATTGACCAACACTTGCAATCAAATTAAATTTCTTGCTGACCTTAGCTTTCAACTTCCTTATACTCATCTTTGGTTTCTGAAGTATATGATTCATGAAATGCTTTGCTATCCATTTATAGGTAACAATGGACCCAAATTTGAACACTCTTGCACAATTATGCATATCATTCAGAGATTTAATCTGGAATGATTTTTCACTGCTCATCCAGGTTGCCCATAATCTAAAAGGACAACCTTTACCCTGTTTATTTGTCTTACCTTTACAACATTTTACCAATAACCTTTCATGATCACTTTTCTCATACCATAAATCATATCCATTTTTGACTGCATAGTTGGTGATACACAACTTCAATTCCAATGGATTAGAAAACTTCATACCCAAAACTGGCACCATTTGCTCCCATTCTTGATTCTCATTATGGACAGGGAACACAACATCCTTAAGTTTCCCATTGTTTGCTTCCTCTTCATCATCATCACTAATATGCCCTGAAAGTTTGTCCAAGAATGGGTCTCTAACAGTTTTATCAAAAGTATGTTCATCTTCATCATCCCATTCATGTTCATATTCCATTTTCATTGAAACTTCAGAATCCTTGTCATCCTCTTCATCCAACTCATACCCTTTACCATCTTCTAAGAACTCGTTATCAGCCCAATCAAGAATTGGTTCATTTCGGTGGTCAATGTACACATCTAACTCACTCTCAAGACTATCACTC